GATGTTGGATCTCTTGGATTTATTCAGTCTTCACCAATCGGTCGACCAACCGACTCATAATCGTGGACATATTCTTGACTGGGTACTACATAGGCCTCAAGATGGTGTAGTTAGATCTACTTCAATCACACAAGAGCTGTCCTCTGACCACTTCTGTGTTATTTGTGAACTTAGTGTTAGTGCCCCCAACCCTCCCCCTCAGTTTAGGGAGGTGCGCAGTCTGCGAGCTATAAACAGGGATGCATTTAAGCATGACCTAAGCGTAGAAGTGTCCCCTGCCCTCTGCCCTACATTGGAATCACTAGACCGTGCATTGCGCGCTGTGCTTGACCGACACGCCCCTGTCACCCGCCGCAATTTTAGTCTAAAGCGGTCATCTCCCTGGTATGCGACCATCAAGGAGGAACTACGCAGTGCCAAGAAAGAGCGCCGTAGTGCAGAAAAGAAGTGGTTAAGGTCAGGTCTTGTGGTTTTTAAGCAGATATTTTACGCTGCCAAGAAGCGTGTCAATCAGATTGTTTGTCGTGCAAAGACTACGTATTTTAGCCAAAAGATAACTATGGGTAAAACCAGCAGGCAGTTGTTTGATGTTTGTGGTCACCTTAGGGGGAGTAACAAAGGAACTGCGCTTCCTTCGGTGTTTCCCCTGCCCAAGCAACCAGATATTTTCTGTAATTTCTTTACAAGCAAAGTAGCTGACATTCGAGCTGAGCTTGATCGTCTTGATGCCCCTCCCCTTGAATTGCCTCCTTTCCCTTGTCTTACTTCCCATTTTAATATTTTTAAACCTGTTTCAGAACTTGAGGTAAAAAATATAATCCTAAAATCTAAACATACGTCATGTTATTTGGATCCCATCCCAACCCCCCTGTTGGTTGAGTCATTAGATATCTTGCTCCCAACAATAACCCGCATAATAAATGAAAGCTTATATTCTGGCACTGTTCCGCCTCTTTGCAAATCAGCTGTCATCAAACCATTGCTTAAGAAGCCCGGTCTGGATGAAAATAATTTAAAAAACTATAGACCTGTATCTAACTTATCATTTTTATCTAAAGTTATTGAAAAACTAGTCCTAAAACAACTTTTTGCTTACTTAAATGATCACTCTCTTCTCAGTTCTAATCAGTCGGCCTATAGACATTTCCATAGCACGGAGACAGCTCTCTTGAGAGTCAGTAATGACCTCTTGCGCGCAATGGACAGCGGTAATGTCTCCATTTTGATCCTCTTAGACCTCAGTGCGGCCTTTGACACTGTTGACCATGAAATCCTTTTCAAAACCCTTGAAAACTACTTTGGAATTTCTGGTTCGGTTTTGGCTTGGTTTAGGTCCTACCTCTCTGATAGAACGCAAATGGTCTCTGTCGATGGCTGTCTCTCCGGCAGTGCTGATTTGGTGTACGGAGTGCCACAGGGGTCCGTTTTGGGTCCGGTTCTATTCATAATGTATACCAGACCACTACTCCTCTTGCTCGGGAGGCATGCTGTTGAGAACCAGTCATTTGCAGATGATACGCAGCTATACATGCATACCCATCCATCTCTTGTCGATTCCGCTGTCCAGACTTTGCGGGGGTGCATTGATGATGTCAAGTCTTGGATGACACTCAGCAAGTTGAAGCTTAATGATGACAAAACAGAAGCACTCCTCATTTACAATCACAAATCATCCTCTACCTCAACTCTTCCCACCTCATTTCAAGTAGGTAACTCCGACATACAGTTTACACCCTCTGCTAGGAATCTTGGTTATATTCTTTCTAACAACATGTCTCTCGATAAACATATCTCTCACACTTGTCGTTCGGCATACACCGCCATCCGTCAGATCAGCTCCATCCGCCACTACCTGACAGTTAGCGCAACAAAAACTCTAGTCTGTGCTCTTGTTCTCTCTCGTCTTGACTATTGCAACTCACTTCTGTCAGGTTCACCGAAACATTTTATAGAAAAACTGCAGAAAGTTCAAAACTCTGCTGCTAGGCTTGTTCTTAAGGCAAAAAAACGTGATCACGTCACTCCACTACTCCACTCACTACATTGGCTACCTATACAGGCACGCATTGACTACAAGCTGTCTCTTCTCTGTCACAACTTTTTCTCGGATTCCTGCCCTTCCTATCTAACTGAACTTCTTTCTGTCTATTCACCCCTTCGACAACTTCGCTCCTCCGCAGACTCGCGTATTCTGTCCGTTCCCAAGACACGCACTAAATTATATGGTGAACGATCTTTCTCTTTCTGCGCCCCCAAACAATGGAATTCTTTGCCACTACACATCCGCAATATAACAACCACACAGGCCTTCAAAACTGCACTCAAAACACATCTATTTAAACTATACTACTCTGACTGATTCTCCTCCTATAAACCGATAAACGTACATGGGTTTCCTTGTAAAAATGTCTGGTGTGGGTGGATGAATAGACCTATGGTGTTGTTTTGCTTATATGTTGTTTTTATTTCATTTATGTATTTTATTTTAATATTATGATTATGCCTCTTTGCTATATTTATGTACAGCGCGGTGAGCCCAGCCCTAGGCCGGGGTACCGCGCTATATAAGACCACTTATTATTATTATTATTATTATTAACAAACAATCCAATGGCAGCTAACAAAAGAGATGAGCACCTGGCAGTAAACTACAATTATCACTACAAGTATCACAACAATCATCATACTGTTCATTGAATTTTTGGGATTTACAACAGCTTTCCTCCATAAGAGCTGCATGTCTACAATAGCTTTCCATAAGAGCTGCATGCGTACAACAGCTTTCCATAAGAGCTGCATGCCTACAACAGCTTTCCATGACAGCTGCATGCCTACAACAGCTTTCCCTGACAGCTGCAGGCCTACAACAGCTATCCATAAGAGCTGCATGCCTACAACAGCTTTCCATAAAGCTGCATGTCTACAACAGCTTTCCATAAGAGCTGCATGCCTACAACAGCTTTCCATAAGAGCTGCATGCCTACAACATCTTTCCATAAGAGCTGCATGCCTACAACAGCTTTCCATGACAGCTGCATGCCTACATCAGCTTTCCATGACAGCTGCAGGCCTACAACAGCTTTCCCTGACAGCTTCATGCCTACAACAGCTTTCCATAGTGGCGGACTACAACTAAATGAATGGAAGTTACCAACTGATATTTGCCTAATCCACAAGAGCCCATCACCAGTACCAATGCCATACACATCGTCCACCCAGACCCAATTCATTACCAGTGACCTATTCGCTTCATCCCAAAATTGTCGGGTAGCTCAGACAGTCCAAGACCATCCACCCCCCCTCTCCCCATGTCCATTGACCCCCTGGCTAATTTCCGCCGTGCCACCAGGGGTTGAAACAAAATCGAAATCACGTGATGACTTTGGGCATGTTCATCCTGAACTGAATATTTCAGTCGCTGAACCGATAAGGGGCGTGGTTTTCTTCATCTGCCTCCTGTATGTGTGTGGGGGGGGGGTTGTGGGGGTGTGGTGGCGCTAGGCAATCTTTATAGGAAAGGCATTGCCGAGATCATAATAAAATAATGATTACCTGATACTGCTGTTTCAAACGATTATTGATATCTTGAACAGTTATTGTAACTAAAGCCAATGTCCAACATCGCATTACGTCATGTTACTATTTTTAGACAACTTTATCGTAAATTATAACTTCTAACAATGTATGTCCGCATGTATATATAGAAGTAAAAAAGTTTTTTGTAAAATCTTTCGTAAAATAAAGTTGTCAACACGTTTTCGCCTATGTCATGATCCACTATGATGGCTCACATAAACATAGAAGTACCGAACAGCTGTTGAGACATTGGCCAAACGGAATACCAGGATGTTTTATTAGTTTCTTCACGATATTGGCCAGACTCTACGCCCGGATGTTATATTAATATATTTGCGTCATTAAATGACAAACCCAATTGCGCCCTTAACTTAGACTTGAATTAATCCAATCATTGTTACATTGACTATCAACAAGTCGAAGCACTTAAGCTCTCAACTACTGGACAATGAACAGTGACGGGACATTTGTAATTTACTGCCTTGATTTCTTCCCCCCCCCCCCCACCCAAACCTAATGCCCCATACCCTGCCAGTTTCATCGCTGCCCCTGGATGGCCGTGTGAGAAATGACCCAAATGAGGGCAATTGAGCCCCTTTGAACATTCGCGCTGTCACTTTCGCCAACTTGGCCTAATTGTGGCACTTCCGTCATACGCGCCACAGGCCAATGGGCGACTTAATTGTCGGTGTTCTTTGCGTCACGAGATTTGAATTGACAAAATAAAACTATCAATGTTAAACAAATCCATCTAATTATTTCAGCATAAGATACATTGTTAAACTTTGAGTCCCTGTCTGTGTCTCTTTCAGCTTGTCTATAGTTTGCCAAACTCGTATTTTCTCCCTGCCTCCTAGCTGACAAGTGATAGGATAATAACATGAAATTTACATATAAAATTATATTGCCGTAGATAGACAATAAACAGCAAACCATTTCTATAAGGAAAACTCTTATAGACTGTATTAGCGTGGTATATAGCTTAATTATAGAGCCAAAGAACACATATGAAGACATACGGACACAATGCCATGTGATCTATCATTATAATAAAAATGTACACAGTAATTGCACGTATGCTTAAATAAAAAATAAAAATTCACTCTTATTAATTTGAAAAGTTTTTTTTTTTTTTTTTTTATTCGGCCGAATATAAAACTCAAAAAAAAAACCTTCAAAAAAAGTAAAAATAATTTTTTAAATAAAAAATAAAAATTCTCTCTTATTAATTTGAAAATTTTTTTTTTTTTTTTTTTATTCGGCCGAATTTAAAACTGAAAAGAAAATCCTTCAAAACAAGTAAAAATAGTTTTTTTTTGGCTTGTTCATTTCTAAATATATGGATGTATAGCTTGTGTTATTAACATTAATTCAATGTTTAAAGATAAAATGCAAGCACTACTTATGTTTTCACCTTGTCTCCCCACAGAGAGCTGATGCCGGTCACTTATAAAGACCAGATCACCATCGAGAAGACCCCCGGGTACTTTGTAACCAAGGACGCCCCCCGGCGCATCTTCGCCATGGATCCGGCCACAAAATTACTTCTCGTGGTGCGCGACCCCGTGACCCGGTCCATCTCCGACTACTGCCAGGCGGCCACCAAACACGCCATGAGACCGTACGAGGAAATGGCCTTGTTAGACGAGTCCCTGGGGCTGGTCAACACGTCCTGGGGCGCCATCAAAATTGGCGTTTACGCCAAACATATAGACCGCTGGCTCCAAGTATTCCCCCTCAGTCAGATCCATATTGTGGACGGGGAAAGACTCATAGAACAGCCGGCCCAGGAACTGGCCAAGGTGGAGAACTTTCTGGGTCTGCCCAGGTTTATCAACGATGCCCACTTTTACCTCAGGGGTTTTAAAGGCAAGTTTCCTTGCCTGCTCCGAGACGGCAGGCCTCACTGCCTCGGGGAGAAAACTAAAGGCAGGGACCATCCCGTCGTCAAAGAGTCTGTTCTGGAAAGGCTGAGAGACTTTTACAGACCTTTCAATGCGAAGTTTTATCAAATTGTGGGGAAGAACTTTGGATGGAGCTAACGAGAATGCTACAAGTTTATTTGAACATTGCATTTCGACTTTCAAGTGACATAGAATATCAATTTCATAAAATTGTGTTGAAATTTCGACATCAGAGAGAGAATGCAGCAATGTTTGCTTTCTTACTCTTGGCCAAAAACACAAGCAGTGCAAGAGAGCTGCTCCTGAGGGTTCGTGAGTCCGGTCAGATGACAGTGCAAAAGGAACTGCTTCAAAGCCGAATGCTCGCCAGTTATTCAATGATATTCCGACAAAACTGAACATCGTAAGTTAAAACAGTTGGACCAACAAACAAGTCCCGAAAAACGAACAAGTCCCGAAAAACGAACATTCGACCAAATGACCCGGATACAGTTCTGGGACTTTTGTAACACATTTACAAGTGGTCCTACAACCGCGCTCTGCACGTCCTTATTTCTTCATGGTGTGGCGCGGTGCGTGGGTAGGTGCGGTTCATTGAAAAGTTATGTCCGGCTACGTCTGCTGAAGCCTTGACCACGGTGTGCAACTGCGGATTGGACAAATTGTTGGCATCTATACAAACTATCAAATTTATTCATATAATTCACATCGACTTTCTTAGTAAAGAAATGCTAAGTGCACAACTGAACACTGTGCATACTGTTGATTGTGCCATAAATCTCTTGAAGAATCTGATGACGCGATTGGTTTGTTATAACATTTAATTTTAATATAAATAAATTGAAGGTAAATATGTTATTTTGTACATCCATTTAAAACGGTATCCAGGAATCATCCATGGATTAGCAGTGGACTCTTGGGTCCGATTTCATGGGTAATTTAATTTCTCTGCATAATTGCTCACTTCTGCTAGAGAGGTCAAGTCAATTTAAACTTGTCGACATATCTGAAGAATGCCACCAAGCGTAGACGCCAAGTACCTGGAAGCAATGATGAGATGTTACCTAAAAAAAATATTTTTTTTTTAAAATGTATGTGGGGGGGGGGGGGGGGGTTTTATCCATTAAATCTTCTTATTCGATTTTTGATAAAATTATTTAGGATTAAATTAAATAGAAAAGAAAATTGTTTCAATCCCTTCAAAGTTTTTTTTTATATATTGTTTTTGTGGTGGGGGGGAGTGTTATATCCAATAAATCTTCTTATTCGATTTTTGATAAAATTACTTAGGATTAAATTAAATAGTAAAGGAAATTGCTTCAATCCCTTCAAAGGATTCTTAGATACAAATTTCATCAACAAAAGTTTGATTGCCTGATGAACTTCTAATTGCTTGATGAACTTCTTGTGGATTGATGAACTTCTTATTGTTGATGCTGTTTTAAGCATTGAATGAATTTAAAATTGTTTGAATTAATAATCCGTCTTTTAGTTGGGGTTGACAATGATTTGTATAACAAACACTCTGATATATTTATAGGTTGAGTTTAGAACAGCAACAACTACAAGTATTATTATTCAGATCTTGCCCCAATGGCTGATCAATTTGATGTGAAATCAAGAGTTGGGAGTACCATTGAAATGTTGATTGAAATATCGAGTAACTTGTGGCGTATCTTAAAGAGCATGTACAATTTTATTCATTCATCAAAACGTATATTTGTCTTCTTGGTCAATTATACACTGGTCTATGATACACTGGTCTATTGGTGGAGTTTGTTGTCTATGTTATGTGACATTAAGCTAATGTAGTAATCTTTAGCTAATTTGCAACATTTAGCTACTCTTCCAACATTTAGGAGCTTTTAGAGACGGTGGATAAAACAACACTACCCTTTGACCTTTGTAGACAGAATGCCCGGAGCGTTTGTGTGTTATTGTGTGTGTGGGGGGGGGGGTGGCTCGGTTCGGGATATCTGATGAATTTTTTATTATAACTTTATCAACATTTCCAGATGCTAACTAATCTCAACAAGTCCACCTGTTTATTGACCAACTGACCATTAATTGGACGCCACCGCTGGAACATTGATGAAACAATGGTTGATGGCTACACATGTTAGATGGGGCTCACTTCAGCTAGAGCTCATTGAGTTAGGGCTCCTTCAGTTAGGGCTCATTCCAGCTCTAGCCGCATGTACAGAAGTCATCAAATTTTTTTTTACTATCTAGCTATCATTTTTTGTTTCATGTTTACTAGCTAGATATCATTATTCTATGTGGCGTAGCTAGATATTTTTTTCTCTCTCTTGTTGGAATTGAACTTTGTTTACTGTACTTTGACTAACCTACTGTGATGTTAATTGTAAGGAATCTTCTACTGTAACGCAACATAATATACACTTAAACTTTATGGAAGGTATCGTCCATTAGCAAATAATACTGATATAATATATTTTGAAGTGCATTCCTAGGGAAGGGATTTAAACATTTGGGATAAAAACTTAAGTTAATTCACGAATAAACCCAGTAACAATTTGACACGACACTGTCAACCACCATAAAACCATACCACCATAATACCATACCACCGTAACACCACATCACAACATCATACTACCACACCCACGTTACACCATACCACCATAAAATCACAACACCATACTACCGTACCACCATAAAACCATACCACCATACCACCATAAAACCATACCACCATAACACCATACCCCGTGACACCATAAAACCATACCACCATAACACCATTCCCCGTGACACCATAAAATCACAACACCATACTACCGTACCACCATAACACCATACCCCGTGACACCATAAAACCATACCACCATAACACCATACCCCGTGACACCATAAAATCACAACACCATACTACCGTACCACCATAACACCATACCACCATAAAACCATACCACCATAAAACCATACCACCATAACACCATACCCCGTGACACCATAAAACCATACCACCATAACACCATTCCCCGTGACACAATAAAACCATACCACCATAACACCATACCCCGTGACACCATAACACATACCACCATAACACCATACCCCGTGACACCATAACACCATACCACCATTACGAGGGTTGCGTGACGTAGCGTGGACTGGTTCATTTTCCCGCCACTACAGGTTGTCTGTCAAATGGTTGTGACCTTTTCGTTATGATGTCAACCACTGTCATTTGTTTATACACATCGGATCACCTTCAAGACCTTTCCCTCCACCAGAATGTTCTAGTAATTGGATATCGTTTATGATGGCCGCCTGTAAAAGTGCATTAAATGGTTACAGTTCGATGAGATGATTTTCTGGATTATAAAGCAATCTCACATCCATATAACATGGCGCGATCATGAATGATTTCAAAAAGCAAGTTTATGAAATATCAGCAATTTCTTTGTTATCATAATTTAAGAAGAGGTAAATATTTTTTTTTATTAGAAAATATTTATATTGCTTTTAAATGAAGGTGCCCCTACCTACATACACCACCCAGCCCCCCCCCCCCCCACCCCCCCCCCCCCCAAAACCACCACAAAAAAAAAAATACCAAAAACCTAAAAATAGAACACGTTACTTTAAGCTGAATGCAGTTAACTCAGTTATCTAAATCGTGGTCTTTTTTTTAAAAAAAAAAAAAAACCTTAACAATTGCATTTCATGTCTTTCCTACTGTACAATATATGTTTCTATGTAACATGTGAATATCTTATTATCACATAAAGTATTTTATTCAAATGTTTGTATTTTACTTGTCTGTTCAATGATTTTTAATTGTAAATATATATTTTTAAAATCGCATTTAAGTAGGAAATGAAACATGCCACAAGAACTGATGCAAAAAGCTCTGATGGCTTGCGCTGTGACATTTCTGTCAGAAAACTTCTGACCCACTTTCGCAAATTGTAACATGGCATCTAATTACAGTAACTATTGCATATTTTATTTTTCATAGGTTACATCTTCTCCAAAAAGTGAATCAATTTATTCTGGACGAGTGTCTTATAGAAGGCTTACACATCTGAATTATGATCTTTTTTTACCAGTTTCTGATGTTTCAAGCAATTATTCAACACGTGTTGGGGAGCTCATCGTTGTTTTAAAATAATTAATTCAGAAAAAGTATAATACATTATTTTGTTAAGATTTTTTTTTTTTGGGGTATATTTTTTATTTTGTATTTCACGGGGAGTAATTCTAATACACCCCATTCTAACAAGCAATTCATATATCAAAAAAAATTTAACCTAAATTAAAAATAATTACAGATAATGTACAGAACTAAATGCACGTTAATTCGATGATTACTGCTTGATCGGAAATTGGCCTTTTTTCCATTTTTCTCGGTCTGTCTCCCCCCACCCCCCCCACCCCCACCTTGATCCTTAAAAATATAAAGTTAAGCACATCTTCACTTCTTTTACTATTTATGACTCCTTCTGTACACGCATTGGTCAAGTATTGACTCAATAAACTAACACAAAAATGATGTGCAGTGGTGATGAAGCATGTTGCGATATGTCAATCTGTTGTTTAGTACGAGCGAAGTTTGTCTGCGATCAGTGCGTGAATTGTGTGTGAACATACGTTAATTGGCTGTGTGAACATACGTTAATTGGCTGTGTGAACATACGTTAATTGGCTGTGTGAACAATGTACATATATATATATACGTATTAATTCATGTACATAACTGCATTATGTTATTTTATTGGGATGATGAGAGAAGTACAAACTGGTCACATATAAGATGAAGTAATGGAGCGTACAGTAGTAAAAAAAGCTGTATGAAATAAGAAGTATGTCTGACATAATAATGCCCGTATTTTTATGGCCAATGTCCAGCCCAATAAAGAGTATTTGAAACATCTAAGAAGTCTTTCATTTTGTATTGCATGTCTCGTGTAGACATGTTAATGAACATGTTTGTCTGTCGCGTGGTCTTAAGAGTTGTCTGTCGCGTGGTCTTAAGAGTTGTCTGTCCCTAAGTGTTGTCTGCCAACTTGTTTACCATGTCCCTAAGTGTTGTCTGCCAACTTGTTTACCATGTCCCTAAGTGTTGTCTGCCAACTTGTTTACCATGTCCCTAAGTGTTGTCTGCCAACTTGTTTACCATGTCCCTAAGTGTTGTTTACCAGCTTGTTTACAATGTCCATAAGTGTTGTCTGTCAGCTTGTTTACAATGTCCTTAAGTGTTGTCTGCCAACTTACATACATTTCTAGAAAGGGGTTTAAAATAATTTAGGGACATATAAATTTATGGAAAGAGAGATATGATGTTAAAATATATTGAATAATGTTGTTTTCACAGAGCCTGTGACGTGGCAAGGGGGTGCCAAGACGTAGTTCCAGCCCAGGTTACCACTTTTTTCTTTATATTGAAGGTTGTCATTTTCGTGGATGGGGCGACATAAAGGCTTTCCCGCCCCGGGGGGCTCTCACCCTAGCTACGCCACTGCACAGAGCACATCACAGATTGAGTTATCCAACAGACAGGGCTCAGCTACGGGGAGGAAACCAGTGCTGGTTTCACGTAGGCGGAGATAATGTAGCGGGGAGATCACTCTTGGTTCTCAAATG